CCCACCCCCAGGCCTGGTGAACTTGGTGTGGTGGCTGGCCTGGTGCTTGTGGAACCAGCAGCAGCTGCCTCACGTACGCAAGTGCATGGTGGTGGTCCTGCTGCTGCAGGGCCTGTCCCTGCTGGAACTGCTGGACTTCCCACCTCTCTTCTGGGTCCTGGATGCCCACGCCATTTGGCACATCAGCACCATCCCCGTCCACGTCCTCTTTTTCAGGTGAGTACTGCTCCCTGCCCAGAGCTCACCTTCCTTGTGCCCCTCCTCTCCGGCGCTGGAGGGGAGGCTGAGCTCTGCTGCTTCGCCCCCTGCCCGCTCGCCTGCACTCACCCCACCCCGCCCCCAGGAGGCGCTCCCGAGCCAGGCTTCAGTGGGCTGCTTCCTCTGTTCACAGCTTCCTGGAAGAGGACAGCCTGTACCTGTTGAAGGAATCAAAGCTGGACTGAAGGCCCTGGGAGCGAGTCTGCCCTATTGGGGATTCTGCCCCCTCCCGCTGGCTCCTCTTTTCCCCAGTCCTTGAGATGATTTATTTTTTGAACTTAGACCTGAAGGGTATAGGCCCAGAATCATGTAACTGGCCCACTACCTTGCTCACCCCCACATGGCCCTGACAGGTCTTGGCATCTGTTTGGGCCTGGTCTCTGAGGATCTGGGGCTAGAGGATGGGTAGCCCCTCTGGTTTCTCAATTGAACTGGGGTAGAACTGTGTTCTTAGCTCCACCAAGAGAAAGGCTGCCTCTACTTCCCCATTAGTCACCTGCTCACACCCCCTCACTACCTGGATGGTTCCCAGAGACCTCTGTCTCGCTGGGAGACAAAGTACCAGGCCTTCCTGGATGTAGTGGGGTCCCCCTCGATCATCCCCTGTGCCCTCCTCCAGGGACCACTAGGTGGCACTAGACGCTTGCTGTTTGGCTGCCCACATTTCAAGGCCGGTCTCATTCCACCCCATGGGATCTTAAGAGACCAACCTGTTGGGACTGGGGAGCAGTCTCACTCTACTGACCCAACCAGACCCATAGGAGGCCTCACCACACTCCCCCTTTGAGACCAGGACCCCAAAGAACCCAGGACAGAAATCCCCCTGGCCCATGTTTTTTTAAATTGATTTTAGAGAGAGAGGAAGGGAGAGGGAGAGAGAGAAACATCTATGAGAGAGAAACATCAACATAGATCCACTGCCTCCTGCACGCCCCCCACTGGGGATCGAACCCCAAACCCAGGCATGTGCCCTGAATTGGGATCGGACCAATGCATGGGTCGAAGCTCAACCACTGAGCACACCGGCTGGGCTTTTCTAGTTGGGAGCCTACACACAAGTGTGTAAGGGAGTATAGACCAGACTGTGTGTAGGTGACATGGTGGTTGGCATAGCCCTGGGATGTATGGGATGCTGGGTGGGACAGTGTGTGTGAGCCCTGGCCTGGTGCAGTCTGGACAGTGGAGAGGAGGGTGTGAGTGGTTTTAAAGTGTGTGTGTATATGTGTTGTTAAGCCCTGGCCAGGCAGCTCAGTTAGTTAAAGCGTTGTCCTGATATGCCAACATTGTGGGTTTGAACCCTGGTCAGGACACACAAGAAGCAACCAATGAATGCATAAATAAATGGAACAACAAATTGATGTTTTTTTCTCTCTCTCTCTTCCTCTCTCTAAAATCAATAAAAAATTAAAAATAAATAAAGTGTGTGTGTTGGGGGCGGGTGGGTTAGTGTGGGTAGGGGAATATACATAGACTCTGAGATGAGTATGAGTGCAGGTGAGTGTGCCGTACAGTGAGGGGAGGTTGGAGCAGGATGAGGGAATTAAGTCACCATCAACAACCATTTATTGAGCCCCAACCAACTCTGCACAAAGCCCCAGGCCTGGCAGAAAGCCAGTGTAGCTCCGAGTTCTGGCTGGGGGTATGGGTATCCAGGCTGCAAATGTCTGTTTGTTGCCCCCCCTTTGCAAACCACATAGGGACCCCCCACAACTCAAGATCACCCTCCAGAACCAGCCCTTTGGGAGGCAGAGGGAGGAGGGAAATGGGGATCTTCGAGGTCCCTCCAAACTCCGGGTCTCCTCCCCCACCCCAGAGCCCTGCCTGCTAAGCTCCTTTGCCAGAGCCTGGACCCTTGGCAGGAGGAAAGACAATCTGAGGGAGGAGGGGAAAGGCTGTGGCTGGCAGGGGCCACACTGTGCCTGCACCCTGGTAAAGGTGACCCCTGCTAGTTGCTGGCAGTCCCCACCCATTCCTGCTCCACAAGGATAGAATGTGGAGCTCCAGAAACTTTCCATTCAAAGGCAGCCTGTGAGTGGAGTAGGAGTCTCAATTCTTGCTCTTTCCCTGTGGCCTTGCCCCTCCCTGGGGTTGAGGGCACTATGCTAGTCCAACTCCAGGGACATGGGTGACCCAAGTTAATTAATTTTGATCCTGAGAACTATTTTATGGTTGGAGGGTAGCAAAAGACTTTCTCAATAAACCAATTTTCAGCCTCACCCACCCTTGTTCAGCCCATTTGTGTGAGTAGGGTGGGCTTAGAGGGAAGGAGGAAACATCGCTGGCTGGAGGCAGCAGATAGGTGGGGTCTCTACCTAGGCATGTAGGGGTAGGGATGGCAGGGACCAGATATAGAGCCACAGCAGAGCTGGGTGGAGCTCCAGTCTGGCTTGTGGGAGTCTGGGGGAGGGAGCTGGTGCTTGTTCTTCCTCTCACTTCCCTGGACCTCAGTTTGTGCCTGGATTGTAACCCTGCCCCCTGCAAATTCCACTTTAGTCTCCTAATTCCCCACCCCTCCTCCTCTCTGGTCTGAACCTTTCTGAGCTTCACCTGCAAAGAGGATAACAGGACCTGTTGCTGAGTATGAGGACGGGTGGACCTAGTAGGTGCCTGGCACACAGCACATGCTGACTGAGGTCCCTCTGACCTAAGCCTGCCTTAGTTTGGGGAGAAGGAGTGATACAGAAATCTGTGTTCATGGAAGCTTCTGCGGGAAAGGGCTAGCGTTGGTGCCTCCCACACCCCCACAACACAAGAGAGAGCACTGGGCCCTTGTTGCTTCCCAAGAGATCCACAGACAGCACTGACACTCAGCAGGACAGACATTTCTTTATTAGGGGCCACCTCCAGTAATAGGAAATCTGGGTGGCTGAGGACTCCCAGAGCTGGGTGCACTGGAGCCTCACACCCCAACATTCTTCTGGGCCCAGGCAAAGAAGATGCCCTTGACATCATCCACGCCTGTTCGAAGATGGGCAGGCATGGTGTAGGTGCGTAGGTCCCGCACCTTGTAGCCACTACACACCAGGGCCTCCCTCACCTCCTCCTCACACATGGGCACCACCTCTAGCCTGGCCTCCCCAGCCAGGTACCACGACTCCTCCAGGGCCCCAATGAGGAGGAGGTGCCCCCCAGGCTTTAGCAGCGTGGTGATGTGGTCTAGGGCCCGCTGGAAGCTGGCAAGGTCAGGGCTCACCGCCTCCAGGCAAAAGGCAGACACCAGAGCATCGGCAGGCAGGGGCGCCAGGCTCCCAGCACCCAGGGGCTGGGGCTGGTGCACGTCGATGGGGAGGACCCGCTTCACCCTAGCTCGCAGCTGGTGCTCCTTCTCCTGCCAGGACTCACTGTGCAGGGACAGACAGTGGCATCAGGGCCAGGGCTCAAGACTGCCCCAGGCCCATGGGAGGCCCCCTGTCAGACCAGACCCTCATCCCTTAGCCCTTACCCCTTGCCCTCAATGAGGCAGACATGCTGGCTGTACGCGCTCCAATCAAAGGCCCCAGGCTCTTGCCGCAGCCAGAGCCCCAGCTCCTGGCGGTTCACCTCCAGGAAGTCAGTCATGGTGATATCCTCGAAGTGGGCACAGGCGCTGAGCAGCTGGTATATGGTGGGGCCTGAACCAATGTCGATGAGGGTGTGTCCAGACACCTCACCTGGATGGGGCAGAGGAAGAGGGTCCCGATGCCCGCCGTCCAGGCGGCCCCTGCCTCAGTCACACCCCGCTCACCTGCTTCTCCCGCCCTCTTCCCTCTCTTCCTCCTCTGTGTGTCTCTATCTGGAAAAAGCATCGGCTCTGGAGTAGGGCGAACCAGAGTCGGAGTCCTGGCTTCAACATCTACAAACTTACCTTGAGAAAGGAACTTAACTGTAAAGCTCTACCTACCAGTGAGGATTACGTGGGGAAATCCTGAGGTGCCAGGCAGCTTCTCCCGGTTGTCTCTCTGGTCTCCCCAGTCTCTGTCTCCGGTTCTTCCTCGGCATCTCTCTTGATCCTGATCCCTTTCCTGCATCGCCCACCTCACCTCTCAATCCTGAGCATCGCCCCCCCTGCTCCCTGGTCCCCATCTGGCTCTCTCACGAGCCCCTTTAGCTCCCTGACGACTTCTTGTCCTCCGGGCTTCAGTTTCCCCGCGCTCACCAGTGGCGAAGGTCTGCGCCAAGCAGCCCAGCTTCCAGGGCCCGACGCCGTCGGGGCTGCTCAGGTCCCCCCGCGGGGGCGCGTAATTGTTACGGAGGTAGGCTCGGGGCTCGAATCGCTGGTAGGCCGAGGCCGCGGCCGCCTGGCCCGGGGGCGAACCGGGGGCTGCTCCCGCCGCGTGACTCGGGTCTGCCGCGCTCATGCTGCTCCCGCGGCCCACCCTGGGCCCCGCTGGCCTCGCGGTCCCTTTATGTGCGGCTGGACCCCCGCCCCGACCCCTCCGCTGCGGGGGCGGGGGCTGCGGAGCTCCGATCCGCCCCGGGCCACTGGGCTCTGCATCTCCCCCACCCCACCCACCTCCTGGAGCGTCCTGGCCGCGGACGCAGACACACGGGGATGTGGGCGGCGACCGCCGCTGGAACATCTGTCCCGGCCCCTGCTCGTCGACTCCGGTCGCCTCCCACCCTGCGCCTCACCTGGGCTGCTCCAAGTCCCCGCCCCAGCTTCCCACCCCGTAACCCCTAGATCCCCGACGGCGCCAGCCCCCAGCAACTCCCGTGGCTCTCCTCCGGCTCCCACAGCCATGCACCCCTTTTGCCCAGCCTGCCGTCCCTTCTCTTTTGGCAGAGTTCGAATTAGCCCTGTCCCCAGTCGCCACTTCCCAGCGCCCTCCTCCCAAGGGCCCAGCGCACCCCCACTTCCCCCAGGCTCCTCTCCTCCGGGACACCTGTCCAACATCCACCCCTTTCCCTAGGAAGGTCACCCCAACTCCCCTTCTCCGCCCCTCCCCCAGGCCTCTTTTTCGTCCTTTCCTACGCCACCTCGGGCCTCCAGCGCCCCCCCTCA